GGCGAATATTCTTGCTTTCTTCACTACTGGTGAACTATTCCCAATCTATACTTCTGCTTTTCGAATGAAAACGGGTACCTCAAAATTATCGTGAACCGTGCCTTTGAGCGAGTCTAACAAATTGGTTGAATCAAAAAGTGGGGGCACCTTTCTCTGTGTGGCGTGTCTAATAATAGTAGTGGGACAAAGCTAAGGTGCTTGACGATTTTTTCCACGGTCTAGCCGAAACTGGCTACAGTTCGCTAAGTGCAGATGCTTTTTTAATAGGCGGATGGTTTCCAAGACTGTAATTAGGACACTTTCAGCGTTTATGATGTTCTCGCGTTATCGTACCATTTGGTACGTTCTCTATGGCTCCTCGTGTCTGGGTCTTTCCGTTTGCTGTGCCCTTTTCGCCGACTTCATCTCGCTGCTTACGTTGCACATAGTCTGCTTTGACGTTTATGCTTCTCGGTGAGGACTTTTGATTTCAGTTTATTCAGTCATCGCAAATTTACTTTTTTATTCTTTATTTTTTATCGTTTTGTGTTTACGTACCTTTGCATTCTCTCGAAATGACGTCTCTATTGTAGCATTTTCACTGTCAACCTGTTGGATCTCTTAATCGTGAGCCTCAAATGTAATGTACATAACTGGTTTCTTTCCTCCTGCAACCGATACTAGAAGTTATTTACACTGTCATGTTGAGTAGTTGATAAGATAGTGTGTGCTGATGGGAGCCCTCCAGCCGAGCCCATTAGCATTCTGTATTTATAATTGAATTGCTGCGGTGGTTCTATCTACAGCTGGTGAACTCCTCGAATTCTCATCCACCTTTACTTGCCTTTACTATTATCGATGATCTCTGGAACATCGTTTCCACCACTCAAAGATGCAGAAAACTGATGAGACGGCCAGCTTACTGTCCGCGGATACTCAATCTGTGACGTCGTACGGTGGTACCAGCAGTGCCGATGACGCACTCGATGCTGTTGAGCCGGTAACCCTCTCATGGAGGGATTTAAGGTATGTTCATTATTCTTTTTTTTCAATCTTGAAAATTTTGTCAAGAAAACTGTGATAGCACTACTGGTAGGGTTTCAAGAATGGTCTAGTAGTGTAGCCCTTTGTCAGGATTTGTTTCATTCTGGAAAATCGATCTATTTTTGTATGGTAGGGCTCCTTTCATACTCGTTTACGGAAGGGGAAGCTGCTGGCGTCAATGTGAATAGCAGCGGCGTTGATCGACATTGCTCCAAGCGTGGGGCTATCTAATCGTAAACGGTTCCGTTCCCACGATTGCGAGAAAAAAACGTGACGAGGGCCTAAGGTGGCGTTTACTTGATGGACTTGCTACCAGCTCCCCATTAAACCAAATCAACAATGAAGATTAAACCAGAGAATAGAGTTATCGATATATTTCTGTATCTTCAGTAGCTTTCACACTTCTACGCCTTTTCGCTTCACTTCTTATTTTTCTTCGGTTGTTCATTTTTCTCGTTTGGCTGAACTAGCCGCATTGGCCATTCCGTGTATTCATGGGTGGCCTTTCTCCTAATGACCTATTAATGTGGCTTCGGCATTATGACTGTAATCAAAAACCGATGGAAGTGTAGTTGAGGGAGGAGGGGGGCACCCATCACAATGCTAGTATATCAAGAAATGAACTCAGTGTTACTCGGTGTTACACCAGAAACATGCAAACTTCTAAGTCAGCCTTAGGAGGGAAGGGTGAGTTCTTAGCCTTTCTCACGAGGTAATTATCTCACCCATTCCGGTACTCCTACACCCCATACGCCTTGGTAAAAAAATCTATAACCCTTCTGGCTGAANCTTCTTCGTCTCCGATACTGTGCAAACATAACAACATGATTTCATCCAAAAACTTTTACCGAAAAGCAGTGGCCGCAACTAAACCGGATGTCTTGCGTAGCACAACAAGTCGTCATCACGACTACGTCGTCTAGGTCAAAGTCCTTGCTTCAACATCTCTGTTCATTTCTTCATTTAGCTAAGGGTTCATAGATAGATAGAGATATCAACTTTCTGCTCTCCTCCGTTATGCTCCCAAAATATCAAATCTTGACAAACAGGCGATCCAATTTGGTAGCTAGCACTGACGATTGAAAGAATTACATCACCTCATCGGCGTCATATCTCTAGTGTTATCATCCGAAGTATAAACAAGCCACGCTACTGTCTTTCAGAGTATCTGTAGCTGGAAAAGGACGTCAACTACTGCATGGAGTCAGCGGTTTAGCACCACCTGGAAAGCTTCTTGCTTTAATGGGAGCGAGGTAAGCTTTGGTTCGTTTTAAACATGAGTGTTGGCTCCTGGGAGTCCTGTCGCGTTCAAAACGATCATTCTACAACCTGGCCGAACCGAATAGTCCTACAGTTGATGACTTGCTATTATGGTCTTCAAACTAAGACTTGGAAGTCTTTGTAGTTTGGTACTTCGTTCTTACGAGTATCAACCCTAGATTGGTCTAGAATCGCCTAGAATGACGAACTATCCAAAAGATTGTTTTTAATCCAAGGGAGTTAATCGATAGTTGCTTCTCTATAATATTTGAAGCTGCACGCTCAATAAGTTCTGCTGTTTATTTCAATCGAAACTTTGTTTTCTCATTGTTTATGAGGGCGTCACTTAGTTTGAAAGTTCTTTTTAGTTCTTTTCTAGTATTAGCATTGAATTACTTTTGTTTCAGTGTTTGCCAAAGAATCCATGCTTCGTTTTTGCTTACTATGATTTCTCGATTTTTTGAATTTTGATTATTATTTTATTTTTTTTATTCAAACAAAATAGAAAAATTAGTAGGTACCGACATCTTGCACTGAGAGCTCTGAAATAGTCTTCAGTGACTAGACTTTCAATCCATACAGTAGCGTTATCTCAGGTTTTTTCCTTATCTGTCTGATTGATGTGAGCGTCTGCTTTTTACGGAATTTCTCAAAGGCTTAGCTCATGTCTGAAAGATGATTTACTGTCTGAGGACAGAACGCGACAGTGGATTACGCTGTCAGGAATTTTTTATTGTTCTAAAACATTTTTGGAATGTGAGTTTGCCATTATTCTGGAGCCTGACGTTTTTTGGAACTTTGACAATTTTGTAAGGCTCGTAAGATTCCTTTTCAAGGGAGAATTCAGAGAGCTTCATGGTTCTTCGGGTTTTTTCATCTCACTAGACTTCGGTGCATGCAACTTTGATCGGCCTGAAAGACTTCCTACTTCATATGTTTAATGGGCAGAGAGGACCGGCATATTTTGGAGCAAGGTCAATAATGTCACCTGCCTATTTGTCATCATGCAGTGACGATGATCACACCAACAGTACATTTTGTTCCTGACCTATTTTTCTACTCCGTGAAAGTCTATGAATGCTGCAGTCAGTGTCTGGATGGGGAATCAATGCGATGAACGCATTGATTCCCCACCCACATTCTCGGAACTCTGCGGGAGAAGCGATCGTCACGGAGCAGTGATGAACTAATGAAGGAGGCAAAGAACATTCGTCACATTTTTACTCCATCCTAGTTTCCTTCTGACCTTGTGCTTCACAAACTTGGAATGTGTGGTGACATGGCGAGCCCTTCGTCAGCGTCTTTTGACAAAAGGTACCCAGAAAGGATGGTGCCTATGCCGAAGGGATAAAGCGCTCTCCAGGACGGCTGCGGGGCGACTTATCCAAGAGAACTTCAGATGAAATAAATGATGTGCTTTGTGGCCCTCTTGCGAGGAGGTTCTACCGAATTACATACATTCTTGCAAGGACGATTGCAGGCGTTTTTCAAGCCCATTCCTATGATCATTTGAGCAAGTGACATTTACGATCTGATAAATGTGCAATCAAAATATTGCAAGACAAAAAAATTCTGGAGCTTCTCTGCCTGTGCGTTATTTTAGCTTCTTTCTGAATATAGATTTGGGGGTCCTATGTAGAGGTTGAGCATTCGAGGACCAGAATAGGACTTCCTTCGCATGAATTTCTCTTCAAGGTTTGTCATGCATAGCAACAAAGAATCGATGTCTCTATGCCGAAGAGTATCCAGAAGATTTCTCCGTTGTGTTCGCTTGAAGTCCAAGAAAATTCTCGTAAAGCAGGTTTAGAGTTAGGGGAGACGGGCATTTTCGCTCACGGGCTTAGCCAGCCAGGCGAAGCGTAATGAGTTTCAGGCGGTCTCTTTACCTGGTGCTCAAACCCACTAAAATTTCAGTTGAAACTGCAATTCAAGGGTTAAACAGTGTGAAAAACTTTGTAGAAAAGGTCCGCAAGAGTAGAAAAAATGTTAGCCATCACATATCGTTGAACTTTGCACTACAATTCTCAGATTAAAGTGTTCACTGGGAGCCAAAAAAACTGTTGTTCCACAACTTTCCTCGTCCTTCTGCGGGAAAACTAACGGGGTCGCTCAACTACGTGCGTTGATATGTAGTGTAGGATATCATGCGGCGTTAGATTGAAGTTGCAGTTTTATTGGCCTGAGAGATTTACCTGGGTTCTGCTTTTGACTGAAACAATCCACTGTTGTGAGGTATTGTACATCGATTCCGTCTGTTGCTGTTAGCTGGCTGAAAGGCTGCTAGAGTTGTCATTTTCCTTCTCATTCATGCACTTTGTAGAAGGTTCCTGCCACGACATGGCTGTATATTTTGTCGACTGCGTGGTGGCTCCAAATTTTTCCTTCTCACAGTGACTAGACTTCCTATTTTGCATGCCATGTCAATCAAGCGATGACTTATTTTTGCATCAGAAATAGTCGTCATTTAGATAAATGTAGAGACCGTTAGAGTAGATTAAATGTAGAAAAATAAAGTCTTCGAGCGTTAATCAATCCCGTCTGAGGGATGCGCCTACACATTCGACTTCCATTCAGAATCATAGTGACGTATTGAATGCGTACGTTTCCTATACAATGATTTGCGTATGCCCAAGTCAGTGCTTTTATCATCCCAGACCGGTCTGGTACCAATTACCCGATCCCGGAGAGATGGAAGGCTTGACTGGCATAGACGGATATCGATCCGGTGTTTGAACCCGTGACCATGCATGTGATAATGCGTCACTTGGCACTGCGCCACCTCCACCTATTAGAAAGGATTATTTTTCGCAATCTCACCATTAATATAATGGTTAATCTGATATGCTGAAAACACCTACGATTGTCTTCAGTGGCGCTGGTAAAACTACCTTGCTGAACACATTCCTCAATCGAAATNTGAAAGGACTCCGAGTAGAAGGACGTGTAGAGATCAACGGAAATGTGGTACGTTGCTCTTTTGGCATCGCCCATCCACTACATCACCTTTGCTGATTTCTTCGTTCAGATTGGCCGAGAAATAACTGCCATATCGGGTTATGCCCAGCAAGAGGAAATGTTCGTTGGCACACTTACCGTTCAAGAATATCTATCTATCCAGGTAACATTTCAACATTCCTACCCACCTTTCTTTTGTAATGCTACAAGCTTCCGATCCTTGAGCGAACGCAACTCATATTTCTGTTTTTTTCGCCATGCAGCCACGATGGAACATGCATGTAATTGTGGTTGATTTGTAGGCTCGTCTTCGCACAAACCTATCGCAGGAGAGGCGGGAGAAACGTGTGAATGTGATTTTGGCTCAGCTTGGGCTCACAAAATGCCAAAACAACCGCATCGGAGTCGCGGGCGTCCGAAAGGGAATATCAGGTCAGTATGATCAGCAGGAACTGCTGGCGAAAGGAAATCGCTGGCTAGGTATAGTTCATAGTTAATAAATCGTGAAATCGTCGAATCGAATGTTAGCTCGAATCAGTCCAGCGGTCCGATTCCGGGATCGTGGAAACTCGGAATGCCGGAATAGTGGAAGCGCAGAATCGTTAAACTGTTGAACCTTTCGCCAGCATTAAATAGATGGAGATGTCGCGTGAAATCTACATCTTCGAGCTTTCATCAGGATGCGTTCAGTACTACACAGGGTGTATCAAAATCACTGGCGCCAAATGTCAAGTATTTCTGAGGCAAAAATAACTATTCATTCTTACTCCGTTCCCTATTGAAGGCATAGTTGAGAAAGTAATCGTTTTCGAGATATTTTCCTAAAAAGTATACAGGGCATTCGATTACGTCATGCGTGACGTTGTTAGAAGGGCCCAGGTAGGGCGTGGTGAGGGTTCAAAGATTGTACCCACTGTATGTCACACCCATAGGCAGAAGAATTTTAACGGCGATGTAGAGGCGCACTATTCACAGGGTACACTCATGCTGGAAATTCGAACTAGCCGTCACGGATGGCGACAGCGGTAAGAAACTTTTTACGCAATTGTAACAACTAAAATCTCGTCCAAATACCCTTTACATAGCATTTACATCATGATAATCTCGTACAATCCTTACCTTCACAATTCTCGATCAGACTCATATTTCACAAAGACTGCCGATTTTTGCGCTTTCTTCACCACTGATGCGCTATTCTTTTCCAAGACGAATGCTTCCAACTCAGGAAGGGTTCTTCGAATTATTGTGAATTGGGCCTTTACTTAGTTACCCAATTGAGTCTTTTCAAAATCTGCTTAGTTACCTTGGTAAGACTCCCAATGTCCTTGAGATGGTGAAGACTCATCCAATGCGATATTCAATAATTCGCACAAGGTATGATCGATGAGATCCCAAAAGTTTTTTTAGATTTCAATTACGACTGTAAAGAGGGCTATGAATCGATACAGATAACCAGGATCAGTTAGAGGCAGGCCCAGAAAGCAAAAGCAAGTGTTTCCTAGATCTATCAAAATGGATCTGGACGTATCAATGTCGTCGATAGGACAGACTGTCAAGTAGAATCTTTATTGCCATTCCTATCAGATGTAAAAATGCCACTACATTTCTGATGCCGACAGACGTACAGAGCGAAAAAGTGCAGAAGATTGCTGGCTTCCTTTAGTGAAGGCATACAAGTCCCATCGAATTTTTCATGTAGCAAAAAAATTCTACAATGTAGTTAATATCAACCAATGGAACGATTGCGTTCTTGTCAAAGTCACTGAAAATGCAATGTTTTCCGTTTGAAAAAGAGCGAAGCCGTTAGTGATGACCTGGGCAAGTCGCGACCAACGTTGAGGCAATCGTTGGTTTTCTTCGGTGCCGAGGTAAAAATTGACAAAGAAGTGCACCCAAAGGACTTACCTATGGACGTACTGGAGTCTTAATCCGATAATCTCTCTGAATAAGCTCGTTCATGAACGGTGTCAAGGCAAGGTGCCCTATTAAATTAGCTCAGGTGAAGGGTTATCCCTGTCGTCAGATTCTAACTCCATTGAGTTTCCGTATGATTTCTAATTATCGGGTTCGCCATCTCAATTTGAATACTTGGGATCAAGTATATATACACAGATTTGATTGCCATTCTCATCCTAGACACTTGGAAAACATTGCAATGAATAGACACCCATAATTTTGGACAACCTGCTGCCGCGAATACCACGACTTTACTACTACCCATCTGTGATCAGTTTTCTTTTGAGGTTTGATCAGTGAAATCGACGATTTTTAGGAGGCGAAGCGCGTCGTTTGACATTTGCCTGCGAACTACTGTCAAATCCGGCCATTTTATTCTGTGATGAACCGACCACCGGATTGGATTCCTTCATGGCCGAGCACGTTGTTGTAGTTCTTTCGAAGCTGGCAAGGAATGGAAGGTTCGTGTTTGGATGTTGTGCTAAAGCAGAGACTCTCTTAAACGATTTTCTTTGAAATCAGGACGGTGGTGTGTACAATACATCAACCTGCTTCGCAGCTGTTCCTGATGTTCGATCGAGTGATGTTTCTAGGTGAGAATACTTATTTCGGGTCTCATAATCTTATGGTATCAATCATTCCCTACAACTCATACGGTCTTAGGATCTGAAGTATACTTGCGTGGTCCTCTGAGAATCACAACTTTGCGAAAATATGAAAAAGTCTTATCCGCTGACCTGATCTTGGCCGTACTTAGCTGCAGGTTATCCCAATCTATCGTGGGACAATGCTGACCAAGAACACACGCGTGATGGATACATCTGGGAAGCGACAGGTTGTATAAATCGACCTGATGTAGCGGAAACAGTGGTCCAATATGCTTAAACTACCTGTGTTTTTGAGCAAGTACAGGATCCAATTTCCGCTCGACCCCCTATCCGCCCTGGGATCGGGCCACGAAATGTCACCGATAATCGGCTAGGGATCCTCCAGTTAGAGAAGTTCTCACAAACATAGATTCGCGAAAGTGACTTCCCAATAGTTCGCTATCCCTTTATGTGTAAAGGGCCTAACTCAAGATATTTGATATGAGTTAACCAAGTTCTGATCTCCCTATATCATATCGCTACTACTGCCTGAAATTGAATTGAACTTGAATTGCTGCCGAATTTACTCGATTCCTGCATACTGCACATCATCTTCCAAAGTGCTAAGGTTCCTTATTTGACTTGAAGGGCGTAAGTTTGTCATTTATGGCCCCTTATCAGCTTCTATCAGTTTTTTCTCAGTTTCGAATGTTCCGAGTCCAAGAGAGCATTAGTAATGAATTTTTGATTAAATTCAAGCTGACACGCTTCTATATCCTTGTTTTTGAAAGCACAATTCGCGTTGATAATAGTTCCTGGGATTTCCCTCTTAGAAGAACCTTTCACCCACAGGATGATCTAAGGGACACTGTCGGGGCCAAAGGCCAAAATAGGGTGTAACAAGGGCCCCAAAACCGGCTTGGCCGACGTGTACACCCAAGGCGAACGAGTTTTCGCGGCATTGTAGATATTGTAGAAGTTGCACTATTCGCAGTGGGACCCACATCTTGCATGCAAACAGCCTATTGTAGCCAGCTGTATGCAGTGGCGCGCACATTCCAAGAGCTCGTCCAAATCCCCCTTCAGTGCAACTTCTGTTCTGTTGTCGTTCTCGCCAACTTCTAACTTTGTTTCTTTTTTCAATCTACACTATTATTATGAGGCCTTTTTCGTTCTGAGAGTTAGTTCTAGATTTTTCGTGCACCAAATTTCTTTCAGCTGGTGGACGAACAGCGTTC